AACTAATTCATCACGTTTCAGGGTAAACACCACACTGAATGGGTAAGAATCACAAGAACCAAAATCTCCTTCAGTTTTGACTGATTTCCCATCAATCCATGACGTACTTTAATGAATCAGTGTGTTGATCGGAGTAGCCTTATACACAGCTAGGAACCCTCCAGTTGATTTGCTCCTTAGAGTTCTTGTGTGAGCATCAGCCTTGCTGCTTTGGAAAGCAAATACTTTCTAAGGGATTTAGTGGAAAGTCCCAATGAAAGAGGTCAAAATGTACTGTCATAAATATTCACAAGAAGGAGAAAATGCTATTAATCATGTTCCTACATCTGTCACTAAGTCATTGTAGGACACACTCCTTCCTTTGTGAAAAAGACAAAAATTCTGATGCCCAAGGAATAAGGCCTGGTGGGTGAAAATTGCAAGCAAGGGAGTAAAGGATGAAACTACAGGAGGTTCTAGAGGGTATGGGAGGGTGTTGACAGAGAAGTATGAAGGAAAACACTACTGAGAAGTCATATTCAGAACTGCTCTGGAAGGATGAAGGTCTGCAAGTGGACACAGAGAGATGAATCTCACAACAAGTGCAATTCTTGAAAACTTCTCCTGTCTGACCAGCCACAGATGGCAACCTCCCTGAGAACACAGTCTCATTGAGTTTACTCATCCCTCATTCTTTAAGGTATAAGGATACAGTTAGTGCTAAATTAATACTTTTTGTGTTTGAGAGAAAAGAAAGAAAAAACACAGGAAAAGAATGCTCACTTTGGGGCCATGCCTAATCTAGTAAAGCTGAGACACAGATGCCTGGGAAGACAGGGGAAAAGACGAAATTAGAAATTCAGTGGAGTCCCTTCAAATCATGGAAATGCCTTTGTGAGAATTCTGGGACCCAGGAGAGAGGTTGCAACACTCTGTTAGAGGACAAAAGCTGAGAAAAACTTCATTAAAAAGGGTAAGGGAAACAAGAAAAAGAAATGAAAGGCATCCAAGTTGAAAAGGAAGAAATTAAATTATTTCTTTTTGCAGAGGACATGATCTTATACATAGAAAACCCTAAAGACTCCACCAAAAATGTTAGAACTAATAAACAAATTCAGTAAAGTTGTAAGATACAAAACCAAAATACAAAAGTTAGTTTAGTATCTATACACCACCACCAACTATCCAAAAAGGAAATTAAGAAAACAAGCCTATTCATAATAGCACAATACACAGCAGTAAAATACTTACCAATAAACTTAACCAAAAAAAAGATGAAAGACTTGTACAGTGAAAAATAAAAAATATTGATCAAAGAAATTATAGCAGAACAAATGAACATAAAGGCATTTCATGTTCATCGATGGAAGAATTAAAAGTTATTACAATGTTTATATTACCCAAAGTCATATGCAAATTCATTGTAACTCCTGCAAAAATCTCAAAGAAATTTTTAATAAAAGTAGAAAAAATAAAAAAATTTATATGAAACTGAAAAAGACCCCAAGAGCTAAAGCAATTTTGAACAAGAAGAAAAAAGCTAGAGGCATCATGTTTCCTGATTTCAAAATACATTACAAAGCTATAGTAATAAAAACAGTATGTTACAGTAACAAGCATAAAAATAGATGCAGAGACCAAAGAAACAGGAGAGACCAGAAATAAACCCAAATATATATAGCCAAATGATCTTTGAATAGTGCCAAGAACACATAATGACTAAACTCTGGAACCAACCTAGACGCCCATCAATAGATGAATGGATAAAGGAACTGTTGTATATATGAACAATGGAATATTACTTAGCATTTAACGAGAATAAAATTATGGCATTTTCAGGTAAATAGATGGAGTTGGAAAATATCATGCTAAGCAAAGTAAGCCAATCTCAAAAAAATAAAGGCCTAATGTTTTCTTTGATTAGCGGATGCTGATCCATAATCCAGGAAGGGGGACATGGGAAGAATGGAGGAACTTTGGATTTGGCAAAGTGTAGCAGGGAGGGGGATCATGAGGGTAGGATGGATAGTGAAATGAGATGGACATCATTACCCTAGGTACATATATGATTGCACAAATGGTGTGACTACATCGTGTACAATCAGGGAATCAAAATATTGTGCTCCATTTGTGTACAATGATTCAAAATGCATTCTGCTGTCATGTACAACTAAGTTAACCAAATTTAAAAAAAAATTTAAAAGAATACACAGTGAGGAAAAATATTATTTCTTCAATAAGGTATAGGAAAACTGGAAATCCACATTCAAAGGAATGAAAGTATATCCTTTTCTTATATCATACACAAAAACAAACTCAAAATGAATTAAAGATTTAAATATAAGACATGAAGCCATAGAACTCCTAGAATAAAATATGAGAAGAAGTTTCTCCTCCTCCTCCTCCTC